AAGAAAGTTATCCAAATCATCCTTTTGGTTTGCCATTTGTATATTCCTTTTAATTATTAAGACATCAGCTGGTTTCATTTGTATATCCAGTGTAACATCTTTTTCCACATCATTCTTGTAGCTTGTCATTTTTAAATTTACTTTCAAATCAGACTCAGCCTTATCTGGTAAAACTAGTTCCTCTTCCAAAACATCTTTTAAAGACAGTTTATCTATAATGGCAGACACTTTTAAGATTAACTTCTGGATCCATTGCTCACAAATATCCTCCAATACACCCAATGTTAAAGTATTTTGCTCCAGTCTGTGTTAGTAAATCAAATTTAAGTGTTCTTCTCCTTTAATTGTAATCTTTAGCTCCTTCTGGTTCCTTCTAGCATCCAATGTTCAAATTTCCATCCTCTCATGTTTTCTTTTAAGAATGCTAAAACAACAGCATTTTCCCACATGAAGGATTCTTATGATTAATTTCAAAATCTTATTTCAAATCCATCTGGACTCTTAGTCTGTTTATAATTTTCCAAAATCAATGTTCTAATCACCCTTTTGCTGTTTATCCCCCAAAAAGAGGGGTTTTTTCCATGTCCTTAAACTTATCTTTAGAACTTCTTTTGCGAAGGATTAAAGGAAGCTCACCCAGTGTGTGTGGTAAGACTTGTTGATCAAAATGTTCTTAATAGTTGAAAAGCAGTTAAGAAGCAATTTCCAAAAGTGTTTAAGAAATGAGGCTCTGCAGAACTTTGTGTCCATACAGGCTACTTTGCAGCTGTGAGCTTGGTGGAAATCCCTCGACTTCCAGCTGCTCAACTCATGAGCCAACTGCAGAAATCTCAGTTTCTGCAGTTTACTCATGAGGAGTAGCTATCTGGAGCACAGGTGGGCAATCTCACGCTCTCTCCTTTATCCAGAGAGGCTTGGCTGGCCAGAAATCTCCCTCTGGTTGTCAGTCTCACTGCAATGCTGTCTCTGCTCCTCCGGAGATATCTAGTTTGCTATGAATCCTCACTGGAAGTCCCTCTTCCCTCCTCATTTCTTGCGTGGATTGTAATATTAGAGATATTGCCTCTTATTTTAATAATATCCATTTTTTACTTTCTGTAAGAAGGAAGAAAAATGCATTCATTTGGGGGAAAAAAATTCTGCAGTGGTTTACCTTGATGTTTATAGGGCTTAAAATGGGAAATTATGTAGTAGTTTAAATACTTTTGTTTTTACAGGGGATTATTTTCTAGTCAAGCATTTCACTGCTCTGGTTTGCGTATTTAGGGCTCATCATTTTACTCATCTGTTGACCTGGGGTTGGTTGTAGTTGTTTTCATAAGTCTGACATCAAACTATCTGCTCTGAAACCTGAAGGTTCCTAAGTTGTTTGACTGTGTATTTTCCTCTATACTAAACTTCAGGGTGAGTTTGCAAATTGTGTTGGGTGCTCCTTCTCCTTTTACAATGGCTCATTAAAATGCTTATTTTGGGTCTGGTTGCAAGTTCAGGCACGAGGAATGGCTGTTGGAAATCACTGAGTCACCATTTCAGAGAACCCTATTTTCAGAATATTTTAATTGTTGCAAGTGTTACACGTGGTGTGTGAGGCTTATATTTACATTTAGCCGTCATGATTTTTTAAAAAGAAGAATAAGAGGGAGCTTTTTATAGAAGGCATGTGATGGAGTGACTTGAACTTCAGCAGACCTTTTTGGAATTGTTATAAAAGGAATGACAAACAAAACTCCTAGATCCGCAATCTTTGAACAAAGAATTGTTAAAAAACATGAGTTTCTATGGAAAACAAGTACTGACTTTCTTCAGCAGAGTAGACCTTGGGCTTGCTGAGTTAACTTTTTATTTGAATTACAAAATGATGGCGAAGGGATATGAGCCATGACTTGGGACAACCCACATATGCAAGTATCAAACTGTTTTTGACATGGTACAAGTACAAGGATTCTAACACAGTACCCTAAAATTGTCCTGAAGAACTTTTAAGGCAGTTGAGAAATACTTGTGTTTTTATGCATGAGCATGTATTTGAGGCAAAACTGTTTGCAGCACAATGTCGGCAAGCTATTTTATTTGCTCTTAAAAGTCAATTATTTAATTAAATCTTTGCAAAACAATGAAATATCAGGGATCAGAATGCCTTGCTGTCTACAGTATTGCAAATATATAGCTCTATCAATACATCCCTACCGCCATCTGATTTTGCCAGTTTTGGATTTGTAAAGATGGGCTGATTTAAGATGAGTAGGTGTGATTCCCCTCTTGGAAGCCTTTGTGAAGCTCATATTTTCTGAATGTACTTATTTATCAGTATTATCTGTGGTCAAATAACCTTCCTCCCCCTCTTCATCATTTGGCTTGTTGTTTTTTAGGGTCTAAATTAGTTTCTCAACCTTGGCAACTTTAAGATGTGTGGACTTCAGTTCCCAGAGTTCTGGGAGTTGAAGTCCACACGTCTTAAATTTGCCAAGGTTGAGAAACACTGGTCTAAAAGTTAGGAATGCCTACAAGTGCATCAGCGTGTACATACTCCAGAGCAGCCTTCCCCAGCATGATGTCCCCTAGATGTTGAGATTACGATTCCCATAATCCATATGCAGTGGTTTATATGCTCACTAGAGACAATGACAATTGCAGATCCAGTGCATCTGGAAACCATCATGTGGAGAAAGCTGGTTTAGAACATGCATAGGGAACACGGTATCTCTTGGACATTTTGAGATTACAGTTCTTATAAGATACAGCAAGTATGGTCTCTGATTATGTATTTTGGAAATTGTAATCCAAAATATTTTTGCTATAGAGAATGCTTTAGGATTTCAACCCCTTGAGGAGTAAATGCATCTTGACTCAAGATGTAAATTCATATGGACTTTAAAAAAAAATAGCGTATTGTTCTTTTCTCTGAAATAATATGTGAATCTGAAGCTTGGCCATTAGGATGTTCTAACTTCTAACACAAACATACCCAATCATGCTGTTCATACTGTTTAACTAAATTGCAATTCAAAACTTGTGCAATTCAAAATGTGTATCTTCACAGTGATTTGGTTGCTTTAGGTGAGCCAGGTTTTGGCCACAACATAAGAATGGGAAGAAAGTTTATGAAATCTGATCAGGCTAAAGGATGAAGTCCTATTTATTTAAAAGAGCAAACAAGCAAAAGGTGAAAAGATTAAGAAAAAAATAAAAATTGGTACAGAAATATAATATCTGTAAGTGGACAAAGGAATTACAAAAATAATAGTGTTCAGTGTATCTTTGATTAAAAATTAACCATAGAAAACATTAATTTACATTTAACTACATTAAGTTATTTGAACAGGGTAAGTAAGAATTTAAATCTCTGAGCTATGTGCCAAAATCTCCACTATTTGTTGTTGAAAAATACAAAAGAAAAAGGAAGAGGAGAAAAAAGCAAAAACTACTGAAACAGTGTTTTTCAACCTTGGGAACTTTAAGATGCGTGGACTTTAACTCCCAGAATTCCCCAACCAGCAAAGTCCATGCATCTTAAAGTTCCCAAGGTTGAGAAACACTGTACTAAAACAATATAGATAGATAATAGTTTCTAACTTCCCCTGACTAATGTACAAGCATGGAGGTCCTTATCTGTAGCTGTGCCTGCTCTTTGGAACAGTCTCCTAGTTGCGATCAGGTCCCTCGAAGGCTTTGTTATGGGCGGTGCTAAAGATGGATCAATTGTAGACGGAGTGGTTGCCATTTGAGTTTTGTGTTTATTTTTCATTTTCTTTGGGGGGATGACTATTGATTAATTTATATATTATTTATATTTACTGTGGACATTTTGTGGTCTGTATATTTGTTGGTTAACCTCCAGGAGTCCTCGTAGATTACAGTCCCTACCAATTTGAATAAAGAAATAGAGTTTAGCTCCAGGCAGAGCTTAGGGCTCAGCCACCCATTCAAAAGAGGTGCTTCACAACTGTTCATGTAAGTGAACCCCTCACCCAGCATATTAAATTTGGTGGCTGGATCCCTCCGAAGATTTCCACAGTGTCTTTGAAGGCTCTTCTGGGCTGACTGCACAGACAACATTTCTACTCATATCACCAAAAAACCCAAAACAATTGTGGATGTGCATGCAAACAACCAGGGACAGCTTTCCAAAGGAAGGGTGCTTCGCTCATGTGAGTGTAATTTCAAATGCTTTCCACAGCAATGGGGGGCATATGGGATTACAGTTAACTTAGATCAGTGTTTCTCAATCTTGGCAGCTTAAAGATGTGTGGACTTCAACACTCAGAATTCCCCAGCCAGCATGCTGGCTGGGGAATTCTGGGAGTTGAAGTCCACACATCTTTAAGCTGCCAAGATTGAGAAACACTGATCTAAGTTAACTGTAATCCCATATGCCCCCCATTGCTGTGGAAAGCATTTGAAATTACACTCACATGAGCGAAGCACCCTTCCTTTGGAAAGCTGTCCCTGGTTGTTTGCATGCACAT